CGCCCCGCCCCGCCTCCCGCCGCGGCGCACGAGGATTACTCGTTTCCAACTGTTTTCAAGTCGACGGCGAGTTTACAGACGGAGAGATACGGCCGGGGAGAATAGTCTGCAGTTTATTTGAAACATATTCGTGCACCACGCACAGTCCGAAGAGTGGTATTTGCGCAAGACACAAGGACCTTGTCGTGCAGAGAACTGCATTGGTATTTCTGCTGTTTGCATTTTTTTGAGAGCACCAGTCCCCGCTGCAAGAAAGATATTTTAACGAGTACCTTGGAAAAAAGGTTTTGACAGGAAAAGTTGAAGTGTTGTGACTCGCTAATAATATCTCGATGCACTAAATTCCGAGATAAAAGTCAGAAGAACCAATTTGTTCGTGATCAGAGCTGCCTGACGAGAGAACTATTAAAACTGTGTGTTGCTTACCATTGTGCTTGTACTCTGGTCCGTGATTAAGCATGGTTAATATTTATTTGAATTAAACCTCTTAACAATATTTCAATTTTATGGCTAAGCATACACTTTACATTATCTCCAGTTTCAGAAAACATTATTTCTTCCCTTTCAATGTTAAATCTTGCCACTCTCTTAATAGGAGAGCTGCCTTCTTCCTGTTTCATGATGGACACACAAATTTCACAATCACGTCTTGCGTGAATTCGAGATGTACCACCCATCATAACCTTAAACAGTCTTCGTTCTTGCTCCTTCTTCTTCTTCTCTTTTGCTATTTATAGCACTACGCTGCCAATTGGTCTTTCTAATGAGATTTGGCATAACGTGTTGTCATAAAAAATGTAAGTCATACTATCAATATATTGAAATTAAAATATGTTTATTTGAACATGATAGTTGAGTCTTAATTTTTGCACACCTTGGTGTGGTAAAGAAAGAAGAAGATAGGAGGAAGCTGAGACTACAAGCTGGTACTACTAAGGTCTGATAAACAATTATAACGAGGGAGAGGATATTAATTGCCAAAAATGTGTTGGAATGAAATCAAGTAAAGAAATGGAAGTATAAAGTCAGTTTGAGAAGAACAGGGAGAAAAAAGTTGTAATGAAAAAAACTATGCGATTATAAAAGTTGCTAGTATTATAATGAAAGGCAAGATGATAATCACTTTGGTAGAAAGAGACTGATTTATAAGAACAAGACTTTGTGGACGAGCACGGACTAACAATATAATGAAATGTATAAGTATATAAAGATGTGGTAAGATTCAGAATGTTTAAGGTGTTTCAAAACGGAGAAAATCAACAAAGTTTATGCAGGGCAAAAATTCAAGAAATATTAAAGATATTTTAAAAAGTTTGATACATTGTTTACTTATGGATATATTTCATGGATTTTTGAGGAAGATGAATTTGAGAGATTGTGTAAATTATCAATTGTTCGAAATGTAAGTGGTAGATTTATGATTAAACCTTGTATATTAAGATATGCATTAGGAGCGAATCCAACAGTCATTCCTAAGGGGAGAAAGTTGTAAAGACCTAGCTACCACTACATATATTCGAAAATCTTGGAACCCTTTCCTCAAGGTGTTCAAAGATTTAAAAGGAAATTAACTAATGATATTTGTAGATTATCTAAGTTTGGCTTATTACAATTTTTATTATCGTCATTATTATTAGTAACAGTATTATTTTTGTTATTAATATTAAATTTACTGATTTACTAAATACACAATGCCATATAATAATATTCAATGTGGTATTTGTAAAGAAGTGTGGTGACGTGTTGTGAAGTGTAGAGCAATAGAGAAGTAGAAAGAGAAGTGAAGTGCAAGTATTCTAAATTGACGTGGAATTCAGTGTTGTTAAAAAGTCGTGAATTGTAAGTTACACATATCTGTACAGGATAGACATAAAAAGTTGAGTTAGTCCTATTATTGTTATTATTGCCTTAATTGTTATCATCGATATTATTTTTTTATTATTATTATCATTATCATTATATTCCTAAATGTAATGTTTGTAAACTGTAGTGTTCTGCCACCAGGTTGCATAAACCTGCCTGCATAAATAATAAATATCTAAGACTAACATACTATTTCAGTAATGAGCTCTTGATAGCGATGTTCAGTACTCAATTTAATAACTTTGCGGGTATGAAAGAAGCCGTAGAGATCGCGGCGTTCCAATGAATGGGCTGCACGAGGGAGGAGGGCGAGCGCTTCTTGGAAGTGAGGAGTAGCGTGCGATCGGTCGTCCTCGCTGCTCGGCGAGCGGCGCTAGCGACCGCGGGCAGCGCGCGAGGTCGGCCGTGGCTCGCCCCCTCCCCTTGGGGGGCGGGGGGGGGCAAGGGCGGCGGCGGCAGCGCGCGACGTGACTGGCAGAGGAGGCGGCGGCGGCGGCAGCGTCAAAAACCGCGGCGATCCCGTTGGCGGGCACTGACAATGACTCAACGTCATCGGGGCGCCCAATGATTCGTGACGGGCGTTGAACCGCCGCCTGCACCCCGCGAGGCTCCGAGGCGGCGCGGAATGCGCGGCGCGCGCCCTTTGTTATCACGCGCCCCGCCCCAGCACGCCCCAGACCCCACGGCCCATCCCAGCCTATTCGAACCTACCGCATCCCGTCCCAGCCCGCGTCAGCGGCCCCGAGTTGTCCCGGACTCCAACAGCTATCCCCAGCCTATTCTAGTCTACCTCATTTGACTGCGGCCCGTCCCAAACCACCACAGCCCATCCCAGCCTATTAGAACCCAACGAAGCTTGGCCCAGCGCGCGTCAGCGACCCCAGGCCGCACCAACTAACTCCCGCCTATCCTAATGTTCCCCATTTGGCTCCAGCCTGTCCCTAACTCAGCTCACCATAGCCTAGTCGAACCTATGCCGGCTCGGCCCAACCAGCATCAGCGATCCCAGGTCGTCTCTGGCCACATCAAGAAGCCCCAGTCTCTTCTAGTTTGCCCAATTTGGCTGCAGTTCGTCCCAGCCTATCTTAGGTTTATCCCCAGTCAGCTCCAATGCCTCAGCATTTACGCCTCAGCCATCTACAACCATCAGCAAGCTTCATTTTCCAAGCTGACTTTAGTCTCAACAACTGAGTATTACTTCTCGCAGTTAGCACTCACGTAGTTGCAGCACGTGGAACATATTCTCTGCCCGCCTCAACTCGTCTCAGCAATGACCATCTCCTCTCAGCGATCACAAGCTTCTCTCAGCCCTCATCAGCTTGTTTTAACGATCACCAGGTCGTCTCAGCGATTACTAGCTCATCACAGCAAACACCAACTCGTCTCAGTGATCACACTGTCATTTCATCCACCACCATTTCGTCTCAGCGATTTCCCACCTTTCTCAGCGTTCCCCAGTTTCTCTCCTTCCACCAATCACCTTCCAGCTGTCTGGCTGGCCCCGGTTCGTTGCATCGTCTCTCTATCCCACCTGCACGCACAGTAGCATCCTGCCGCTGACCAATCCGGTAAGGCCGCTCGCCCGCCAGCCCTCTCACCTCCCCACCCAGCCACATTTTGTACCTATGGGCAAGGCCACACACCCGGTCGCTCATCCTGTTAGATCGGTTTACCGTCTGCCGCTGAATTTCTAACCCGAATGTTTCCTCTCCACTCACTCGCCCTACCTTCGTGTATTAGACATTTCATCTGTATTTACTAGCTTGACGGCTCATCCTCCAACAGAAAATACGGAGAGGAAAGAAGGATGAAGGGTAGGAAGTTGCATATTGGAATATACGATATCAAAGATTAATATCATAATATCAATCGATTAATATCAAAGATACTAGCAAGGATAAGGGCGATGGAAACGAGCTGAAACCTGTCGACATTCGACCTTGTGTGTGGGTGCCACAGTGTATTTCAGTACTTAAGATTACTCTCTTTATAATATTTAGTGCATTTAAGCGACATGGGGAGAGTAGGCTAAAGTTACAGAATATATGAAACAAATGCTAATAAAATCTGTTTTTGTTTTGATAGCAATTTGCACCAACCGATTTGCTTGTCAGTATTTGCACCCGCTGGATTTTATCCTCTGAGTGTGACACGAATCTTAAAATTTAGTGAGGCGGTAGATGTGAGTCCATGAACAGTGAAATTAGGGGTAGTTCCAGGTAAGACTTCCAAAACGAGAGGCGTAGCGCAGTTCCCCTTGCGGAAAAGTGACGCGGCAGTCCCGCATAGCAGCACTGATGAAGGTGTTGCCTAATTGCAGGGGTACACGTATAAACAAACAGGTGTTTTGAAATTAACTTTCTGGCATCTGTCCTTATGTAACACTGTGTTATGTTGTGTAACATGTACACACGTACCTAATGTGTTTATTCAAGATATACGACTCTACTATGAATGATTTGTCAAACGTATTGCGTTCAATAATAAATTCGAAGAACGAATTCAACTCCGTATGTTTTCGGGTGAACACGTTGGTTTGACAAACCTAGCTTAACTACCTATAAAATTATAAATTAGTTCACTTGTATTTTTAATTCTAGTATTATTCATTGAAAGAATTGAAATTGTACAAAATTATTAATATTGACATAATACTTTATGTGAAATTCTTATATTTAGTGTCGACTACGACGAAACATTTATTCTAGTGTGTTCTAATGTGAGCCCAAGCAACTCTTGATTAAAGTTACTTGAACGTGTATGAATATTCGATCATAATACAGCGCAATAACAAGATCAAGCTGTAATAAGTGTGTAAATATCTCAATTTGTGGAAATGGCACTATTTGTGAGCATAGAAAATCAAAATCTGGTTTTTCACGGTGATCTCTCAAGAAAACATCAAAATTTAATTGACTATGAAATGTTTAGCCCTTAGTAACGGAGTTAACTTGATAAAATGAAACCTAAATACGGATTTACTGTCAAAAACGACGTGGGGCAAAGCGTTTCACTCATATGATTAAGGTGTCTCATGTACACATTAGGCATATATCACCATACAATTCTTTTTGGTGTGATTTGCACTTGCTTTCCGTGCCTACAAGCCTACGCTGTAACAGTCTCCCACTCCCACATCTTACCACCCCTATGGATTTCGCCTTTCCTCCCCCCGCCCCGCCCCGCCTCGCCACGCCAACGCTGACGCTTGCCTCACCACGACTCTGTGACGCCTTCGCCAACGACTTTCCTCGCCATCGTCTGTCCCACGTGTCCCGGCATGCCCTCGCCATGACTCGACTCGCTTGCCCATCGCCTCGACTCGCCTCGCCTGCCATCGCCTCGCCTCGCCTCGCCTCGCTCCGCATCGTCCTCAGCCTCGCCTCGCCTCGCCCTCGCCTCGGCTTTCGCCTCTGCCACGCCTCGCCTGACGCTCGCCACGCCTTCCGCCATGCCTCGCCTTACCTCGCCTCGCGCTCGGCCACGCCTCGCACGGGCCCTCGCCACGTCCACAGCATCTCCTCATCCACCCGCCCCGCCACACAACAACGTCATAGCAGCCTCCCCATCTCGGTCCATTGGCGCGCCCCGGCAAGGGCGTTCGCTGCGCGTGCTCACAGCGCTTTGCCCACCTGCGGGCGGGCGCGGCGGGCGGTTTCGGCGCGCGCGGCGCGGCACAGCACAGCGCGGCGGCGTATCGACATGCACAGGCTCCGGTCAGCGGGTCATTCGCCGAGCAGCGGGGCGGTGGGCGCGCGCGCGCGCCGGGTCCTGCCGCCGCCGCCTCGCCTCTCACCTCTCCTTTCCCCCGCCGCCCCCGCCCCCGCAGCTTCAGCTGACGCAAATTCGCAATTAGTCCCCAATCTGGCAGCTTACCCGCGCTAATCAAGACGGCCGAGAGGGGGGCGTGGCGTCGCGCTGCGGGCGGTGGAGCGTGGCGGGCGGCGGGTGCGAGGGCGGGCGCTGGGAGTGCGATGCGCGGGCGCGAGGGGAGGGCGGGGCGCGGCGGCCGCGGAGAAAGTGTGGCTGCGAACGCGCTGCTCCGGTCGCGCTCTCTGCGCAGCGGCGGCGCAGCAGCCG